CTCATAGCAAAGTACCAAAGTGGAGGAGGAAGAGAGAGGGGAGAATGTGCCTTTTTCAGTGATTCTATGATATGTATGATACTAAAGCAGCAGGTACCGACAAAGGCTATAGCGCCAGCCAGCGATTAAGTGTAGCATTAACATGTAGCAAGTAAGTTAAGCGATTGAGCGATAGAAAAATGACACGAAAGTAACTCTCCAGTGTTGTTGGAGGTGTATAGGGCCACTGAACATATGCCACTCTGCTATCTTCCACCACCGTAAACCTCTGCCAGCATCTCCTCCATCAAACTAATTAATTAAGCTAACATCTCCTCCATGGTAAATGTAAATATTTCTTATTTATAAAATGTAAATATTTCTTATTTATAAATTATGCACATTGTTTCAGTGTGAATAGTGGTGGTGGCTTCTGCTGCCGCCTCCACTACCACTAATACATACATGTATATATGGCTTCTCTCAGTGGCCCTTATAAACCCAACAACAACACCACCACCACTTACTCCTCACATACATTATGACATGAAGCATTTTATTCATTCTAGGGTATATATCATGTTTCTATGTAAAGAGAGTAGTAAGGGAGAAAAAGTTAGCATATGAGAAGTTTTTACAAAGTAGAAGTGATGCAAGGAGGAAAGAGTATATGGAGAAAAAGAGAGAGGTTAAGAGAGTGGTGAAGCAATGTAAAAAGAGAGCAAATGAGAGAGTGGGTGAGCTGTTATCAACAAATTTTGTTGAAAATAAGAAAAAGTTTTGGAGTGAGATTAACAAGTTAAGGAAGCCTAGAGAACAAATGGATTTGTCAGTTAAAAATAGGAGAGGAGAGTTATTAAATGGAGAGTTAGAGGTATTGGGAAGATGGAGGGAATATTTTGAGGAATTGTTAAATGTTGATGAAGATAGGGAAGCTGTGATTTCGTGTATAGGGCAAGGAGGAATAACATCTTGTAGGAGTGAGGAAGAGCCAGTTGTGAGTGTGGGGGAAGTTCGTGAGGCAGTAGGTAAAATGAAAGGGGGTAAGGCAGCCGGGATTGATGGGATAAAGATAGAAATGTTAAAAGCAGGTGGGGATATAGTTTTGGAGTGGTTGGTGCAATTATTTAATAAATGTATGGAAGAGGGTAAGGTGCCTAGGGATTGGCAGAGAGCATGCATAGTTCCTTTGTATAAAGGCAAAGGGGATAAAAGAGAGTGCAAAAATTATAGGGGGATAAGTCTGTTGAGTGTACCTGGTAAAGTGTATGGTAGAGTTATAATTGAAAGAATTAAGAGTAAGACGGAGAATAGGATAGCAGATGAACAAGGAGGCTTTACGAAAGGTAGGGGGTGTGTGGACCAGGTGTTTACAGTGAAACATATAAGTGAACAGTATTTAGATAAGGCTAAAGAGGTCTTTGTGGCATTTATGGATTTGGAAAAGGCGTATGACAGGGTGGATAGGGGGGCAATGTGGCAGATGTTGCAAGTGTATGGTGTAGGAGGTAGGTTACTGAAAGCAGTGAAGAGTTTTTACGAGGATAGTGAGGCTCAAGTTAGAGTATGTAGAAAAGGGGAAAAATTTTTTCCCAGTAAAAGTAGGCCTTAGACAAGGATGTGTGATGTCACCGTGGTTGTTTAATATATTTATAGATGGAGTTTAAGAGAAGTAAATGCGAGGGTCTTGGCAAGAGGCGTGGAGTTAAAAGATAAAGAATCACACACAGGGTGGGAGTTGTCACAGCTGCTCTTTGCTGATGACACTGTGCTCTTGGGAGATTCTGAAGAGAAGCTGCAGAGATTGGTGGATGAATTTGGTAGGGTGTGCAAAAGAAGAAAATTAAAGGTGAATACAGGAAAGAGTAAGGTTATGAGGATAACAAAAAGATTAGGTGATGAAAGATTGAATATCAGATTGGAGGGAGAGAGTATGGAGGAGGTGAACGTATTCAGATATTTGGGAGTGGACGTGTCAGCGGATGGGTCTATGAAAGATGAGGTGAATCATAGAATTGATGAGGGAAAAAGAGTGAGTGGTGCACTTAGGAGTCTGTGGAGACAGAGAACTTTGTCCTTGGAGGCAAAGAGGGGAATGTATGAGAGTATAGTTTTACCAACGCTCTTATATGGGTGTGAAGCATGGGTGATGAATGTTGCAGCGAGGAGAAGGCTGGAGGCAGTGGAGATGTCATGTCTGAGGGCAATGTGTGGTGTGAATATAATGCAGAGATTTCGTAGTATGGAAGTTAGGAGGAGGTGCGGGATTACCAAAACTGTTGTCCAGAGGGCTGAGGAAGGGTTGTTGAGGTGGTTCGGACATGTAGAGAGAATGGAGCGAAACAGAATAACTTCAAGAGTGTATCAGTCTGTAGTGGAAGGAAGGCGGGGTAGGGGTCGGCCTAGGAAGGGTTGGAGGGAGGGGGTAAAGGAGGTTTTGTGTGCGAGGGGCTTGGACTTCCAGCAGGCATGCGTGAGCGTGTTTGATAGGAGTGAATGGAGACAAATGGTTTTTAATACTTGACGTGCTGTTGGAGTGTGAGCAAAGTAACATTTATGAAGGGATTCAGGGAAACCGGCAGGCCGGACTTGAGTCCTGGAGATGGGAAGTACAGTGCCTGCACTCTGAAGGAGGGGTGTTAATGTTGCAGTTTAAAAACTGTAGTGTAAAGCACCCTTCTGGCAAGACAGTGATGGAGTGAATGATGGTGAAAGTTTTTCTTTTTCGGGCCACCCTGCCTTGGTGGGAATCGGCCAGTGTGATAATAAAAAAAAATAAAAATGTCATATTAGATGAATTGTGATAGATAAATAAGCCGTAGAGATGATATTAGTGTCTTGTTGAAGCATAATAAATTTGCCTCCCTCTCGCCTCCTACCTGTCTGCCATACACCAACAAGAGTCTTCAATTTATTTTTTATTTATTTATTTATTTATTTATTTATGTCTTTGCAAATAGTACATTGAGATTTTGTATTTACAATAATGGGTTGCAGTGCAAAGAGAGCCTGTATTATGCCTAGGCATTATGGGCCGACTTAACATTATTGGCTTACAGACTACTTAACACTAAGAATTATGTCATAGTTGTACAGTAGAATATTAATTATAAGTGAATCTAATTTATATAAGACAATAAAGGTAAGTGTGATGTTAAATGTTTATTTATCCATTTTATTAGTGCTTTATATTTATTTGTCATTGTTTCTGTATGTAAATCTATATTTAATCTTTAAAAAATTATTTTTTGTTAATACTTTTGGGTGTCTGAAATGGATTAATTGAATTTCCATTATTTTTTATGGGGAAAATGGTTTCGCCGATCGTAAATTTCGCCATTCAGTAGACTCTCTGGAATGGATTAATCACGAAACTTGGGGGTCCACTGTACATTATTTTGGTGTGCATACTGGTCAGAGAGCCCGCCATAAGTCCGAGTCATTGGTAAGCAAGTACGTCACTAAGTGAGGAGAGAGTGTATTATATGTATTATTATTATTATTATTATTATTATTATTATTATTATTTAGTAGTACATAGGTATTCTTATAATAATACTCTTGCTTACCATTTGGAATTTTTATTCACACAAAAAATAGAAGATTTACTGTTATGCAGACTACTGCATTATTGTAATAATTGTATAAATAATGTCAACCCATTCATGACTGCGTATTGGAATTGCCAGTTGGACAGGTATTGGATGGTAATGTCATTTGTTTACTCTTGAACATCACCAAAGAATCGAATATTTCTGCTACTTTGAGCTCAATTTCAAGGTACTTTTCATCGTGAAACCAATCAAAATCATATCAGTTTCTGTAATATATCTTCCATTCTGTGAAATGAGACCAAAAAAAGTGAGAATACAACCATAAAAATCATATGAAAATATACCACTAAGGGGCGGCTAATGGCTGAGAAGTGAACTCCGTTATTTATGGTCTGATTTCTTTCAGTTTTGGTGTACGTTAAGAAGCATCTTTCCATCATACATTGCCCAAGTTTCAATAAGATAGCCCAACAAACAACTGAGATGCAATTCCCTAGATCAAGAGCAAGAGCCCCTCACCAGTGTCAAGGAACCTCCCTTGAGGCCTGCTCGCATCTGGAAGCAAAAAATCGACCGAGCAACTGCTCGTATCTTGACAAACTCGCACGTTAAGGCACTCATAAGTAGAGGTTCCACTGTATATATTTACACCTATCTGAGTTTTCTTCTGTTTTCTTATTAGTTCTTGTTCTTATATATTTCCTCTTATCTCCATGGGGAAGTGGAGAAGAATTCTTCCTCCATAAGCCATGCATGCCATAAAAGGCAACTAAAATGTTTGGAGTAGGGGGCTAGTAACCCCTTCTTCACCAATTACTAAATTTAAATTATTAAATTCTCTTTTAGATCACTCTGCCGGTTTGTTGAGGAAAAAAAAATAATGCTACAATATTTGATTACTCTGTAAACACAAGACATGTATTAGAATCTGCCAATTGCTGATTATTTTCTTGGCTAGATAAGTGGAGCAATAATCCTTATGAATAACACGTAATCTGTACAATTAAAAATTGTGATTGAATCATTATCCATCACTATAATATACAAAGATACACAGCATAAACAGTTATAAGTCATATAAAAAGAGACAAAACAATATTTATATAAAAAAAAGATAAAACAGTATTACATTAGTACATTATTAAACTTGTACAGTATAGTAAGCCATCGATTTAATGAACTTCAGTTTAACAGATTTTGGAAATATAGGACAAAATCCACTTGGTCAGTTGATTCAGAAACTATAGATGAAGTGTGATGATTATAGAATTGTCCCTTTTTGTTATGATCATGGCAAAACAGATTCATCTCTATCCATCACAGTCACCATTACCAGCCACCCACTCCTCCCTGTTAGTTTACCTACTGATTACTATTTAAGGAACTCTTAAGGCATGGGTAGATGAGAAGCCAGATAATATTCTCACAGTGTATATTTTAATTGTTAATCAATAATGCATTTTCCAGGAAACTTACTCTGATGTGACAATTGCCTGTGGAGGAAGCCTCTACCCAGCTCATAAGTTTGTGTTATCAGCATGTAGTGAATATCTGCGAACTATGCTTTGTGCCCATCCCAACAAGCATCCAATCCTCTACCTCAAGGTAAGAATTTTAATGTTTCAGAAGATCCTTCACTTAAAAAGGAGTTGCATTCTTATTTTTTTTACTTAAATTATTTGTATAAACAGCAATAGTGTCAGATCAGCCAGGCTGTGATGGTTATGTGGGCCAGCAGGTCACCATCAGTAACTACCTGGTTGACCAGGCCATGAGTATATGACAATAATAATAATAATAATAATAATAATAATAATAATAATAGTAATAATAATAATAATAATAGTAAAATGTCATATATGTACATTCAGTACTATGATTGTGAATTACATACCGTACATGCAGGATGTACCAAAAGAGGACTTGGAAGGTATCTTAGACTACATGTATGCAGGAACAGTGAGAGTAGCACACTCTGGCTTAGCTTCTCTTTTGCGTACGGCAGAAGGACTTCAAGTTAAAGGATTGATTCTCTCTGATCCATTCAGGGGACATGCCAGCAGTAAGTAATCCACAAATCTTAGTTGTTATATTGGTCTTGGTAGTTTATTCATAAGGAAATAATAATGTTTCCTTTAATGGGTATTCACTGAAGGATAACTAGTTAAGTGGTTAAGCATTTGCTGGCTTACTCCAACTAGGTTTTGTAGTGATTCACTACTACATACTGTAGTAGTGAATCATTTAGGGCTGCTATTCAGTGTAAGTATTGCTGATATGTTATCTTAATGTATGCAGTACATGTTGCATTTTTGCAGTTTCTTGTCAGGAGTAACTTAAAAATTATTAAGATAGTGCCCATTTTAAGTGAGAGTCAGATAACACTATAATGTTTTAACCCTTTGACTGTCGCGGCCATATATATACGTCTTACGAGGTACCGTGTTTGACATATATATACTCATAAATTCTAGCAGCAGAAGTTTGTGGTTACAGGAAAGTGGGTGCGGGAGGGAAGAGGAGCGATTGGTGGAATGATGATGTAAAGAGAGTAGTAAGGGAGAAAAAGTTAGCATATGAGAAGTTTTTACAAAGTAGAAGTGATGCAAGGAGGGAAGAGTATATGGAGAAAAAGAGAGAGGTTAAGAGAGTGGTGAAGCAATGTAAAAAGAGAGCAAATGAGAGAGTGGGTGAGGTGTTATCAACAAATTTTGTTGAAAATAAGAAAAAGATTTGGAGTGAGATTAACAAGTTAAGGAAGCCTAGAGAACAAATGGATTTGTCAGTTAAAAATAGGAGAGGAGAGTTATTAAATGGAGAGTTAGAGGTATTGGGAAGATGGAGGGAATATTTTGAGGAATTGTTAAATGTTGATGAAGATAGGGAAGCTGTGATTTCGTGTATAGGGCAAGGAGGAATAACATCTTGTAGGAGTGAGGAAGAGCCAGTTGTGAGTGTGGGGGAAGTTTGTGAGGCAGTAGGTAAAATGAAAGGGGGTAAGGCAGCCAGGATTGATGGGATAAAGATAGAAATGTTAAAAGCAGGTGGGGATATAGTTTTGGAGTGGTTGGTGCAATTATTTAATAAATGTATGGAAGAGGGTAAGGTACCTAGGGATTGGCAGAGAGCATGCATAGTTCCTTTGTATAAAGGCAAAGGGGACAAAAGAGAGTGCAAAAATTATAGGGGGATAACTCTGTTGAGTATACCTGGTAAAGTGTATGGTAGAGTTGTTATTGAAAGAATTAAGAGTAAGACGGAGAATAGGATAGCAGATGAACAAGGAGGCTTTAGGAAAGGTAGGGGGTGTGTGGACCAGGTGTTTACAGTGAAACATATAAGTGAACAGTATTTAGATAAGGCTAAAGAGGTCTTTGTGGCATTTATGGATTTGGAAAAGGCGTATGACAGGGTGGATAGGGGGGCAATGTGGCAGATGTTGCAGGTGTATGGTGTAGGAGGTAGGTTACTGAAAGCAGTGAAGAGTTTTTACGAGGATAGTGAGGCTCAAGTTAGAGTATGTAGGAAAGAGGGAAATTATTTCCCAGTAAATGTAGGCCTTAGACAAGGATGTGTGATGTCACCGTGGTTGTTTAATATATTTATAGATGGGGTTGTAAGAGAAGTAAATGAGAGGGTCTTGACAAGAGGCGTGGAGTTAAAAGATAAAGAATCACACATAAAGTGGGAGTTGTCACAGTTGCTCTTTGCTGATGACACTGTGCTCTTGGGAGATTCTGAAGAGAAGTTGCAGAGATTGGTGGATGAATTTGGTAGGGTGTGCAAAAGAAGAAAATTAAAAGTGAATACAGGAAAGAGTAAGGTTATGAGGATAACAAAAAGATTAGGTGATGAAAGATTGGATATCAGATTGGAGGGAGAGAGTATGGAGGAGGTAAATGTATTCAGATATTTGGGAGTGGACGTGTCAGCGGATGGGTCAATGAAAGATGAGGTGAATCATAGAATCGATGAGGGGAAAAGGGTGAGTGGTGCACTTAGGAGTCTGTGGAGACAAAGAACTTTGTCCTTGGAGGCATAGAGGGGAATGTATGAGAGTATAGTTTTACCAACACTCTTATATGGGTGTGAAGCATGGGTGATGAATGTTGCAGCGAGGAGAAGGCTGGAGGCAGTGGAGATGTCATGTCTGAGGGCAATGTGTGGTGTGAATATAATGCAGAGAATTCGTAGTTTGGAAGTTAGGAGGAGGTGCGGGATTACCAAAACTGTTGTCCAGAGGCTGAGGAAGGGTTGTTGAGGTGTGTTCGGACATGTAGAGAGAATGGAGCGAAACAGAATGACTTCAAGAGTGTATCAGTCTGTAGTGGAAGGAAGGCGGGGTAGGGGTCGGCCTAGGATAGGTTGGAGGGAGGGGGTAAAGGAGGTTTTGTGTGCGAGGGGCTTGGACTTCCAGCAGGCGTGTGTGAGCGTGTTTGATAGAAGTGAATGGAGACGAATGGTTTTTAATACTTGACGTGCTGTTGGAGTGTGAGCAAAGTAACATTTATGAAGGGGTTCAGGGAAACCGGCAGGCCGGACTTGAGTCCTGGAGATGGGAAGTACAGTGCCTGCACTCTGAAGGAGGGGTGTTAATGTTGCAGTTTAAAAACTGTAGTGTAAAGCACCCTTCTGGCAAGACAGTGATGGAGTAAATGATGGTGAAAGTTTTTCTTTTTCGGGCCACCCTGCCTTGGTGGGAATCGACCAGTGTGATAATAAAAATAAATAAATTCTAGCGGCTTCAAATCAAGCAGGAGAAAGCTGGTAGGCCCACATGTGAGAGAATTGGTCTGTGTGGTCAGTGTGCACCATATAAAAAAAATCCTGGAGCACGCAGTACATAATGAGAAAAAAAAAAACTCCGACCGTTTTTTTTTTTAATTAAAATGCCGACTTTGTGGTCTATTTTCGTATAGTATTTATAGTTGTATTCTCGTTTTCTTGGTCTCATTTGATAGAATGGAAAACATATTATATAAATAGAGGTGATTTTGATTGATTTTATTATAAAAAGAACCTGGAAAAGGAGCTCAAAGTAGGGGAAACGTTTGATTTTTGCCAATGTTCAAAAGTAAACAAATGATGTCATTGTCCAATAAATGTCCAACTAGCCATTCTAATATGCAGCCATGAATGGGTCGATGTTATTTATACAATTATTACAGTATTGCAGTAGTCTGCATAATAGTAAGTCTTCTATTTTTTGTTTGAATAAAAATTCAAAATAGAAAGCAAGAGCAATATCAGAGGGGCCTGGAGACATGACTGATGAACGAAGAAAATGTTATTTTAGAGCCAGGAATGTCTGCATTGTTCATTCTGGACCTTATTTTGAAATTGTCATATTTTTTAATTTTCATGAAATTGGCCAAATTGCAAATTTCTGACCACATTATTGGGTAGTTGAAATCGGTAAATGGGCAGTTTCTTGTACTCAGTCGATAGAGAAAATGGAGTTCTAAAGAAATAGCTATGAGTTTGGTCGACTGGAACAACAGAAGTAGCCGAAAATAGGGCTCAAAGTGGGCGAAATCGCTGATTTGTAAATATCGCCGAGGTCGCTAACTTCGCGAGAGCATAATTCCATCAGTTTTCCATCAAATTTCATTTTTTTGGTGTCATTACAATCGGGAAAAGATTCTCTATCATTTCATAAGAAAAAATATTTTTTTTTTTTTTTTTAAATTTGCGACACCAGGAGACACCTCAGGATTGGGGGTTGCGACAGTCAAAGGGTTAAGGACATATATTCTTACATACATACAGCAGGCATGTGTGAGTGTGTTAGATAGGAGTTAATGAAAGTGAATGGTTTTTGGGACTTAATAAGTTGTTGGAGTGTGAGGAGGGTAATATTTTGTGAAGGGATTCAGAGAAACTGGTTAGCTGGACTTGAGTCCTGGAGGTGGGAAGTACAATGCCTGCACTTTAAAGGAATTTTGGATATTTGCTGTTTGGAGTGATATCTGAACTGTCATATCTGCACACTTCTGCAAAGACAGTGATTATATGTGAATGATGGTGAAAGTATTTCTTTCTTTTTTGGGTCACCCTGCCTCGGTGGGAGATGGCTGGCGTGTTGAAAAAATAAATGTTCTTACAAGTGATGTACTGTACATTTCAGAAATTGTACAATCTAGTACAAAGAGGAAGCTTCAAGAAGAGGATAACAGGATGCTTTATAGCAATACTTCTCACAAGTACCCAAGAAGAGCTTTGCAGAGAACACCACCCTCAGCTACTCCACTCGATGTCCCTCCTTCCTCAACTACAACATCACCATCATCATCACAACCACCACCTATGATTAGACCATCTTTAAGACTACCTTCAAGAGAGAGTCCTAGGTTGTGGGATGAAAAAAGCAGTCAGGACTCAGAAGCTGGTGATAGTAGAAGTATACCAGATTCTATATACTGCATTGAAAGTGATAAGCAGAATGAGGTAAAGTTTGTATTTTTTCCATATTTCTTTCTCCCTTAGGCCACAAGGATAACTAAATTCTCTCACTGCTGTACATGAAATACATAAGAAAATAAATACAGGAGGAGGAATAAATCCAAAAACTGAGCATTATCTTGCCACTACCTTTTCATTATAATCTGACTTCATTTAGGACATATTTGTAACATACCTATGACTATTTTGAAGCTTATGCATGAAGTCAGTCTTTATTGTTAACTTCTTGGTCAATCAGGCCGTTAATTCTGGCAGCCAGCTAGCTAATAGCTTTCACATCCTGGCTGATTATGCACTTTTATTAAGGAGTTATCAGGTGTCTTTTTGAAAATTTTTACCTTTGTTCCTGCAATATTTTTTATATTGGCTGGTAGACAGTTGAAGAGTCTTCAACCACAGTGTGGACTATTTGTGAACTGTTCTAGCCACAGCATTGTGACTGTTTCATCAGGAATAGTTGTAGGGAGGAAGTAAGGGAGATTTTTGAATGCTAAGGACTTGGGCATCCAACAAGCTTGAGTGAGTGTGTGGACTACAGTGAGTCCCAGTTGTACTCTTGAGGAGGGATGGGAATGTTGCTGTTCAGAGGGTCTTCTGAGCTATGATGCTATGATGAATGACGGTGGAAGTTTTTATTTTGTTCTGGGTCACTCTACCTTGGTGGGAGATGGCTGGTGTGTTTGAAAAATCTTCAAAATTGAAAATGTTTTAATTATAGTGTTTGACAATTTAGCTTCAATTTAGTTTTTGGGCTTGCATTTAAGATTGTTGAGATTGTCACTTTCTTACTTAAAAAAAAGCCCTGTGTTTCTGGAAGTGATTACAACAAATACTGTGCTGCTACATAGGGTAGTCAACATTTTCATTTAATGATAAATTTATTAATAGATATTTTACTTTTACAGAGTAAAATGAATTATGGTCAAATAAAAGAAGAAGCTCTAGATTGTGCGAATGAAAAAGACAAAGAAGAGAAAGAGCATGATACTAATGAAGAGCAATACTCTTTAGAAATAAAAAACGAGGAGCTAGAGTTAGATGAGGAAGGTAATGTCGAAAAGGAAGATGAAGTTGAGAAAGAGGAAGACTTCGAAGGATTTGAGAAGGAAGAAAAGAATTGTGCTGAAGAAAATGAAGACGATATGTCAGTGGGGAATGAAGATGTGATGGATAATAAAGGGAGGAAAGAATTATCACCTGAAGCACCATCATCAAAGGATCCTAATCTTGTTAGTGCAATGATTATTGTTTTTGTTGTATTTTTTGCTCTGCTTTTATGCCTTCTCACTCAGAAGGAGTGGGAAACAGTTGTGAGGATACAACCAAAGGAGAGGAAGAGAGAAAGAGAGAGAATGGGAAAGAGAAAATGAGAGAATGACAAGTAGAAAATGAGAATTAGAAAGAAAAGGATGAAAGAATGAGAAAGAGAAAATGAAAGCATGCATGAGAAAGATAAAAACTAGAAGACCTTATGGTCTGTTTTAAAGTTATATACCTGTGGTAAGCCTGGTAAAGGCTAAGAGGCAATTGTGCTGTCTACCTCTGCCTTTAGAGATAAGTAAAGCAGGTATACCTGGAGTATACCTGGAGAGGGTTTCGAGGGTCATCTGCCCTGCAGCCCAGTCCGAGACCAGGCCTCGTGGTGGATCAAGATAACTGACCTACGAACCACAGCCCAGCTGGTCAGGTACTGACTTTAGGTGTCTATCCAGTGCTTTCTTGAAGACAGTCAGGTGCTCCTTCCTGTTTTGGATGATTATAGCTACTGTTACTGCACCCATGCTATCGCTTCACTGTAGACAAATAATTCATACCATATTTTTTCTTATTTCTTTTTAACACGTCGGCTATTTCCCACCGTGACAGGGTGACCCAAAAGGAAAGAAAAACCCAAAAAGAAAAAGAAAAAACTTTCATCATCATTCAACACTTTCACCATCACTCATACATAATCACTGTCTTTGCAGATGCGCTCAGATATGACAATTTAGATGTCCTTCCAAACTGCCAATATCCCAGACCCCTCCTTTAAAGTGCAGGCATTGTACTTCCCATTTCCAGGACTCATGCCCGGCTAACCGGTTTCCCTGAATCCCTTCACAGAATATTACCCTGCTCCCACTCCAACAGCTCGTTAGGTCCCAGAAACCATTCATCTCCATTCACTCCTATCTAACACGCTCACAATTCTGTTGAAAATTTTGTGTATAGTGTCACTGCAGGTTTGTTTGAATGTTCTGCATAAATTGTTAATATTGCAGAGGATATGATTCCTCTGTCAGAGAATGAAAATTATGTTTGTTTTTTTTAATGGCCGTTTCCCACCGAGGCAGGGTGACCCAAAAGGAAAGAAAAACCCCATAAGAAAGAAAAACACCAAAAGAAAGGAAAAACCCCAAAAGAAAGAAAAGACTTTCATTGTCATTCAACACTTTCACCATCATTCATACATAATCACTGTCTTTGCAGAGACACTCAGATATGACAGTTTAAATGTCCCTCCAGATAGCCACTATCCCAGATCCTTCCTTTAAAGTGCAGTCATTGTACTTCCCACTTCAAGGACTCAAGTCCAGTTAAACAGTTTCCCTGAATCCCTTTACAAAATATTACTCTCCTAACATTCCAATGGCTCATCAGGTCCCTATCTAACATGCTCACACATGCCCACTGCATGTCCAAGTCCCTTGCGCGCAAAACCTCTTTTACCCCTCCTACCCCTCTCCTCAATACCGAAGCATTTACTTCTTTTACAACCCCTTCTATATATACAGCCTCTCCTCACTTAGCAACGTACTTATTTACCAACGACTCGGACTTACGATGGGCTCTCTGACCAGTTTGCATACCTAAATAATGTATATTAGAGCAGATTTCCTCCATTCTATTTATTACAATATACAGTACACTACTGTATAAACATTTTAAAATATACCAGAAATCTTATAAATGGTGCAAAGATGACATTAAAACAATATCAAAGATGGTTGACACAAACCCACTACCATTATAGTGTGCTCCTCATTTAGCAACAAATTCGTTTACCGAAGTGGTCTTAGGAATGGAACTCCGTCGTTAAGTGAGGAGAGGCTGTATGTAATACTTTAGAGAATGATGAATGTTTTGGAGTAGAAAACTTAGTTTTTGCTCATTTGCAAGATTGTTATTTTTTTCTTGTCAGTGCCTCATTTAACTCTACTTTTTTTCTTTTTTTGTGCTATATTAAGTTTGTCACATGATTAATGCTTTTCTCATATATAAATATGAAAGCTTTCCTATGCCTTCCTGGTGGCTGCTTCCTCAGCTTATTGATAAAGTAAAGCAGTTAAGTGATGTTGCTGATGGATTATAATCAAGTAACCATGATACAGTCACATCTCTTCTCATAACTTTTATAATTTTTTCTCTTACAACTCCATTTTTGCCATTTGACAGATTATTTGAGTTGTGATGTCTGAGAGTCAACTAAAGACAACTAGAGAATGAGTGATAGTTTATATGTTTTCATTTTGGTCTCTCCATGCTATGGGGAAAATGATTAGTACAGTCTTCTCTGGTTACTAATCACTGAACATTCCACAGGCTAGCTTTTTGGAGGTCATGTGCACTGAGAATGATACAAGAGATGTGGAAAGAAATATTGATGAGATGAATTGTGAAGATTCTTCACTGCCCAATGGGCAGAGGGTAAGATCATCTCGAGGTCTAAATCAGCAGTGTCCATTTTGTCTGAAGCTGCTGACAACCAGGTCCAATCTCCAACGGCATATTGCCACTCACCACCAACGACAATCATTCACATGTGCCACTTGTGGGAAGACATTTACTCGCAAGGTAAGTAACTAAGAAATCATACATGTGTGCTCCTAATGTGAATATACAGTAATAGTTTAGTAAGAATCAAATATTTTTGAAGATGTATTACGCAATTGTGTAAAATAACGAAATATACTGAGGTTTCTTCATATATGCAAGGGACATGTCCTCGTGGCTGGCAAATTCATGTATACAGAACGTATTTTTCAATGTGGTTCTGTAAGCCTGGCTTTCAGAAAGCAGCGTAATATAGTACTGTAATCAAGTTGCAGATGTAGAACCCATCCATCGATAATGTGCTTTAGAACCTATTATATTAAACTTTTGTATTGCTCATGGTAGGGAAATCCAAGTATTGGTATACTGTATAGTATGTTTGTGTTGCCCATATTATGAGTAGTGTATTGTGCATGTATAACAAGCTAACAGTTATTTATTGTAGTTTCGTTTTAGACTGATCATTTTCTAAGAGGAAAAAAAGTAAACTATCACTTGCTCCTTAGTTGTCTTTCCAAATAGGTACAGACAGCTTGATCTGTTAATGACCCAACAAATTGCAACATATTCACCCAGTGAATGATTTCAGTGAATCCCTTAATAGCTATTACCATACTCACATTTGAACAATATGTCAAATGCAAGAAAATCACTATTCTCAACTCACTCCAATATAACATATTCACACTTGCCTGCTTGATGCCAGTACTTTTTAATACTGCACAGAATCTTCATCAAGAGGAGAACTTTAAAAGTGGTAGGAATTGTAAATTACCTTTATTATATAAACCTGTACCTGATTATATAGGTTTGTGCTTATACCAGACATTCATAAAAATGCATTCTTCTAAGGGGAAGCCTTGATGCTGGTGAAGGGCTTTAGATCCAAGTACATTAGGTCACCTACTTATAACCCTATTATGTTTCTGAAAATCATTAAAAAATTGGAATCTATTTTCCCAGAGATATTCATGTTATAACTGGAGATGTGCTCTCGAACCATAATTTTATTTTTATTACCACTGCAGTAAAAGTCATGGTTAATGTGCTGTACTCAGATGAGTCCCTCTCTCTACCCTTCCTCTTTCTTGCCTACTCCATCTCATTTCCTCTCTTCCATTCCCTTTCATTCATCTCATATTTCTTTCCTCCCATTCACTCCCACTGTCATCATTGTTTTTTCAACAAGTTGGCCATCTCCCACTGAGGCAGGGTGACCCAAAAAGACAGAAAATCCCTGAAAAGAAAATACTTTCATCATTTAACACTTTGACCTCACTCATACATAATCACTGTTTTTGCAGAGGTGCCCAGATACAACAGTTTAGAAGCATATATAAAGATATATAACATATCCCTCCAAACTGCCAATATCCTAAACCCCTCCTTTAAAGTGCAGGCATTGTACTTCCAATTTTCAGCACTCAAGTCTGGCTATGTAAAAATAACTGGTTTTCCTGAATCTCTTCACTAAATATTACCCTGCTCACATTCGAACAGCTTGTCAGGTCCCAAATACCATTCATCTCCATTCACTCCTATCTAACATCCTCACGCACGCTTGCTGGAAGTCCAAGTCCCTCACCCACAGAACCTCCTTTACCCCCTCCCTCCAATCTTTTTGAGGACAACCCCTACCTCGCCTTCCTTCTGCAGATTTATACACTCTCCATGTCATTATACTTTGATCCATTCTCTCTAAATGACCAAACCACCTCAACAACCCCTCTTCAGCCCTCTGACTAATACTTTTATTAACTCCACACCTTCTCCTAATTTCCACACTCCGAATTTTCTGCATAATATTTACACCACACATTGCCCTTAGACAGGGCATCTCCACTGCCTCCAACCACCTCCTCGCTGCAGCATTTACAACCCAAGCTTCACACCCATATAAGAGAGTTGGTACCACTGTACTTTCATACATTCCCTTCTTTGCCTCCATAGATAATGTTTTTTGTCTCCACATATACCTCATATACTCTCATCATGTCTTTACATATCTTCTCTTCACCCTCTTACTATTAACATTGAGGGTATTAGGTATCTGAGCATATGCATATGGTGTTGGGAAGGAATAGTGAAGGAAAGGAGAGTTGATTGTGTATGAATGCACTAAACCAAGCCAGGGTGTGAGAGGAGGAAGATGGTGTAACCAGCTTTTCCTTACTTCTCCATGGCTACAAGCCATGGGAGAGTAAGGGGCCTTTCATCCAGGATCCCTTGTAACCCACCCATCTTGCCCTGCCTGCCAACTACTGACAAGTACTGGATATGAATGGCTGTGCTAAAACTTTCTGCCAAACAAACATGAACTCTCCATGCATGTTTAAAATGGACATAGACAAACTGTCACTGCATTTGCTAAGGAAAACCTATAAAATAATATAATTCATAATGAATTTGATATAGAGTGGGAGTTGTCACAATTGCTCTTAGCCAATGACTTTTTTTTTCTTTTTTTTGAGGATTCTGAAAAGACTTTCCAGGTTTATGGATGACTTTGGAAAATTATGTAAAAGAAGGAAATTAATAGTGAACATTAACTAAGAAATCTAGGCAGTGAGTAATTGGATTTCATATTGGAGGGCAGGAGTGGGAGTATGGAGGCAGTGAATGTATTTAGAATATTGGAGTGGACATGTCAGCAGATGGGTCTGTGAAATATAGGTAAGTGGGGGGGGGGGGAAGTAGGTGGTTTGTTAAGGCTGCTATGGGAAGAAAGAAGTTTATCTATGGAGGGCAAAAAAGAGGAATGTGCTTTTATACTCTGCAGCAAGGAGATGACCAGAAACGGTGGAGTTGTCATGTTTGAGAGCAGTTTGTGGTGTGAATATTATGCACAGGATTCAGGCAAGCCTAGGTAGTAGGTTACAGCAACTGCCTAGGAAGGTACTGCTGTCCTGCCAAGTGAGTGTAAAATGAAAGCCTGTAATTGTTTTACATGATGGTAGGATTGCTGGTGCCTTTTTTCTATCTCATAAACATACAAGATTTCAGGTATGTCTTGCTTCTACTTACACTTAGGTCACACTACACATGCATGTACAAGCATATATATACACACTCCTCTGGGTTTTCTTCTGTTTTCTTACTAGTACTTGTTCTTGTTTATTTCCTCTTGTCTCCATGGGGAAGTGGAACAGAATTCTTCTTCCATAAGCCATGCATGTCATAAGATGTGACTAACATGCTGGGAGCAAGGGGCTAATAACCCCTTCTCCTGTATACATTACTAAAGTTAACAAGAGAAACTTTTCTTCTTAGGCCACCCTGCCTTGGTGGGATACGGCCAGTTTGTTGAAAGAAGAAAAAGAAGAAGAAACATGCAAGGTTTTGGATACGTTGTACTACTTCTATTTACTCTTAGGTCACACTGCACATGCATAGATAAGTATATATATACACACACACCCCTCTGGGTTTTCTTCTATTTCCTTACTAGTTCTTATTTATTTCCTCTTATATCCATGGGGAAGTGGAACAGAATTCTTCCTCTGTAAGCCATGCATGTCATAAAACGCAACTAAAATGCTGGAACAAGGGGCTAGTAATCCCTTCTCCTGTATATATTACTAAATTTAAAAGGAGAAACTTTTGTTTTTTCTTTTGGGTCACCCTGCCTTGGTGGGATATGGCCAGTTTGTTGAAGGAAGAATAAGAAGATTCAGGCAAGACAGTTTAGGCATTTAGAGAGGATAGAGCAAAATAGGATGATGACAAAGGTGTATATAGTTAGGGTGGAATGACGGAGGGGTAGGGGTCATGGTAGGAAGGGTTGTAAGGAAGTGATAAAGGAAGTTTTAAAAATGTTACTACATAGGGAAGTGGTAAAGAATCTTACCTCCATAAACCATGCATGTTATAAAATGTAACTAAAATGCTGGGAACAAGAGGCTAGTAACCCCTTCTGTATAAATTACTAAATGTAAAAAGAAGAAAAACGTATAGTTTTCTTCTTTTTTTGGAGTCGCCCTGCCTCAGTGGAAGACAGTTGGTATGTTAAAAAAACAAGAAGCATTTAGAGCTTCTTCATGAATGCAATAATACTGCAGGCTCTCCCAGTTCTCAGGAAACAATCTGGTACTGGTTTCTGTTTGTTTGTCCACTGCTCTCCATGCTTGGTTTTTATGAAGATTGGCTCATTTTCCTGGCTGTGCTTGGCTGCCATTCAGGCAGTGTGTCTGCTCCAGTACCATGGGTGCTTGTGCTCTGTGTCTTTCTTTTGGATTGTCAAGTTAGTGACAACCTGATTCATGTTTGTCTGCTTTTTCAATGTCCTACTATTGTTCTCTGCATGGGGGTTCCACGTGACCCTGTGTCCTGTGCCAGGGGACATTTCTTGGTCATGGTGGTCTCCTGTTCTCTAAGATTTACCCACATTGATACCACCTCAGATCAGCTGGTACCTCCTCTGTTTTGGGCAGTGGTGGTAAGTCTGTAGGGGATACTATGTCAGAGAACTGCAATTTGATTCCCCCAGAGCCCCCAGGGCTCTGGGGTACCCCTGTTTCAGTTGACATCTTGTTACCAAGAATTCTTTAGCCTCAGCTGACATTGATCATAAAGCATTAACTTCATCTGGCATTCAGAGGTGAAGAAGGTCATTACCAATCACAAGAGCATATTTAGACCCTTGCTAATGCCCAGAGAGTTCAGTTTCAGTGTAAAATTAATTGACCCTTCGGGAGCAAGGGGCTAGTAACCCATTCTCCTGTATAAATTACTAAATTTAGAAAGAAAAACTTTTGTTTTTCTGTTTAGGTCACCCTGCTTCAGTGGGATATGGCTGGTTCATTGAGAAATAATTGACCCATCCTTCAACCTAACACAGAAATTCATCTTTTCGTATTTAGAGCACAATTTGATTGAGAGGTCTAGGATAGACCTCTCAATCAAAATATATTGAGTTATGTGTCTTATTTAACAGAAATGACAGATATTGTATATAAATTATATTTATTTTAGGATCGATTGACTGAGCATGAAAAACTTCATACTGGTGAGGCACCCTATACATGTGAGGAATGCGGTAAGAACTTTTCGAGGCGGGACAACATGAATGTACACAGGCGCACACATACAGGTTGGTATCTTTTTGCCTCTGTAGACCTATTTTCATACAGATTGGGTGGAATGGGTTTACTGTAATTAACCTGAACAAAGTTATTATTAATACAGGTATAATCTGTTTTGAGTGTGACAGCAAAATTAGACTTTCTGATCCTATAAATATTTCATAAATCTTCATTTCCCTTCAAGGACGGTGAATTGATGCTTGTGAAGGGCTCTTAATTCAAGGAATTGGAACTACTCTTCCTTTCCATGGCTCAGACCTTATTGTTTCCCATTCCCATTTCCTGTTGTCAGAGTAAAATTTTTTTTTCTAGAATTACAGTCAAGTGAAGGTATATCCTCATTTCACCCCTAGTTGTTTCACTTGTGCATCGTATACAGAATATGACTTCTCCGGGACAGTTCAGTCTTCATATACATAAATCTAATTTTTACATAGTCTACATCTTTATCTTTTACTTTCTGATATATGCTGCTGTATGTGCTGTTAGTCTCATCATTCTATTTATTACAATGAAAAAATGTAAAAATAAAAGCTTAATGCTACTTCTCATAAAGCATGTCTTATATCTTTATTTCTTACCTTATCATTTCTTGTAACTTTTTACACTACAAAAAGTATTCATATATAATTCTCTCTTTTTACTGAAAGTAGCAAAGGAAGCTTGTGGCTTTATATTTATTAAAAAATCTTCATTAATAGAGCACTTTCATCTTCCTTTAATCTTCTACCTGTAGTTTTGCTTAGTTAAATTATGTTTTTGGAGCCTTGTTTTAGGGAACCCCTTCACTGATTAAATTTGATTGATGTCTGTTTTTTTTACATATTCCTAGAGTGAGGATACATAGAGTGACTTACAGAGTTTTTCTGCTGTGAGATTTTTAATTACAAGTATGTAATTATTTGCTGAATAATTACAGTTGAGTAGAAAGAAAATTTTTTGTGTTGATAAGGATGCATGCAGCCTCAATGAGTTTGACTAAAGAGGAAAGGAGACAAACTCTCATTCACTTGCCTCATAAGTTTTGCAGGAGAGACCACATACTGCCCAAGTCTTGTGAGTAATTAATTTTGTAGGAACCTATTTCTTATACAGTACAGTGAAACTTAACATGGTGTACATCCCCACAGCCATCCCATTTATATGATACCAAAGCCAAAGAATTTTATTTCTTTTGCTCCAGGCTTTCTCAGTATTTTAACATCTTGAGACTCCTCAGATGAAATATCAGCCAATGTTAAATTTATGACCTATTAAAAACACAAACTTGGCAATCAGCACATTAAACTTGTGCATTATCCAACAAATTTGTTTGTCCTCTAATCCACATACTTGTCTGTGAACTGTTTGAGAAATCTACTCTCGAAGCTTGGCTTGAAGCCACACTTCATTACTGACTACCAGGCCAACTAATCTGTTGCTCCAGTATCCTGCAGTCCTACATAGTCATCACTACCTGGTTAATCTGACCTTTTTATTGTAAATAAGTTAGTTTAACATCTTTATTATGCACCCCATACACATCCCATGAACAGTAGTTAAAAGATTACAGAGGTACATAATGGGTCCAGGGACTGGGCTGCAAAGTTTTGATAGCTAAACAAGTTACAGTGGTAATGAACTATTTACATGTTTATATCAGGTCACAATCATAATGAGTTATTTATCTGTCTTCTTTCAACGCACCAGCCGTATCCCACTGAGGTGGGGTGGCCCAAAAAGAAAAACAGAAGTTTCTCGTTTTAAATTTAGTAATATATTCAGGAGAAGGGGTTACTAGCCCCTTGCTCCCGGCACTTTAGTCGCCTCTTACAACACGCATAGCTTACGGAGGAAGAATTCTGTTCCACTTCCCCATGGAGATAAGAGGAAATAAACAAGAGCAAGAACTAGAAAGAAAATAGAAGAAAACCCAGAGGAGTGTGTATATATATGCTTGTACATGTATGTATAGTGTGACCTAAGTGTAAGTAGAAGTAGCAAGATGTACCTGAAATCTTGCATGTGTATGAGACAGAAAAAGAAGACACCAGCAATCCTACCATCATGTAAAACAATTACAGGTTTCCGTTTTACACTCACTTGGCAGGACGGTAGTACCTCCCTGGGTGGTTGCTGTCTACCAACCTACTAGTACCTAGGAGTTATTTATGTAAACATTAATTTGATAAGTGTTCAGGTTCTTCTTCAAATCTTTTATCTTTGTTATGGCAATATTTAATATATCTGTTAGTACAGTGTCTTGGACCATTGATGTTGATATATGCCTATGACAGGTTTCAACAGTTTTCTTACATATAAGCAAATTTTTTTGGCTTTCACCCTGACTAAAAAAAGTGCGGAATGGAATTCTGTGCATATGACTGAAACATTGTTGTATGATCTTTAATTATTTGTTTATAATTTGTACTGTAGTGATTTAATATTATTGAATAGTCTTGGAGTATAAATGAACTTTATACAGTAGTTGAATAAAAATGGAAATATTGTGTCAAAAAGGATGTATGGTGCCAAGGTTTCAGAGAGGATTTGCTGGCCAAGTGGTAGTTCAAATTTTACATCTTGTTCATACTCCAGTCCAACATATGCTGCACATGACCACTACTTGAATAAATAACTCTATTAGTGTGGCTTAATATACTGCATTCTTCAATGTAAACTGATGTACATTACAAACGACTTTTGGCAATTCTCAATTGTAGTGTATTGTCAAGGGTTAGTGCCCTCTGTTTATTTGTTCTATGGATAATTAGAATTTGCCCTGTCATTTTGCTTTAATATGCACTTTTTAAGAATGTTTCTGATATATAGTGAGGACTTATGGTATCAGTACAGTGGAACCTCGGTATGCGACCTTAATTCAATCCATTTGAGTATCAAACAAGTTCTTCCCAATCAATTTGCTGTTTGGTTGGCTGTTATCACTAATCGTTGTAGGTCCCATGGTGGCTTATTTATACAAATAATACAAAAAAAAACAAAAAATGCAAAGAAACACAAAATAGTTTACAGTGAAGTTCTGGCAGGTTGTATTTGTTTGGTCGAGCTTTGTTCAAGTAGGGAGCTGATCGTATACCAAGGTTCTGCTGTATAATGCATTGCCAGAAATACAGTAGGGCCCCGCTTTACGGCGTTTCACTTTACGGCGTTCCGCTAATACGGTCATTTCAAATTATGACCAAAACTCGCTATACGGCTCCCCCACCTGACTTTCTAATACGGTCACCGCGCCCCACCCTGTTTGTTTACATTCTTCGTGAGCTCGGTAAGCACTAAGTCTCTCCATTTTGTCTGGAAACTCCAAAATTTCAAATGTTTTTAAAAGTTATTTCATATTTTATATATACTCTGATAATTATACTTATGTATACCTGTACCTAAATAAACTTACATACTGTGCTGGCATGCAGGTACGCATTAAAATCGGTAAGTCTCTTATGTCTCCAGACGTCATATTAGTAATGATAATAATCATCGAGTCATTTAAATGTCGTATATTACGTTAATATACACATTTTCATTAATCCATCTATGATATTTTTTTCAAAATTATATAATAAACACGATGCATAACATATAAATAAGATAAATACACCACACAGTAGAATAAATAAACATAAATGTGAGATGTGGTAGCAAACGACTTGCACAAGTGACGCCATATTAGAAATGATAATAATAATAATAACAATACTCACCGATTCTCATTAAATGTCGTATATTACGTTAATATACGTACACATTTTCATTAATCCATCCATGATATTTTTTTCAAAATTATATAATAAACACGATACATAACATAAAAAGATGATAAATACACCCCACAATAGAATAAATAAACATAAATATAAGATGTGGGAGCCAGATAACTTGTACAAGTGATGGCAAGAATAACATTTTCTCTAATCTAACATAAGAGAAAATGTGTTACTGGGGGTAACTGTAGAAAATTATTCCTTTCGTATGTATGTAAGTTTATTCAGGTATACACAAATACAGTTACATAGATTATCATACATAACAACATATGTGTAGAGAACCTAGGATAACCCAAAAAAGTCAGTGTGACTTATTTCCATTACCATCACTTAGAGCTTCATTTCTTCTCAAAATGGTGTTACATGAGAATGGGAGTGTTCATCTTTATTAATTCTACCGTATCAATGTAGAGACAACCTGTACACAATGTAACTTGTACACAAACCAGACGTGTACACTTCGTTTACAAAACTTACCTTCGCCTGGTTTGTTTACATAACTCTGCGCCTGTCCCCTCTCATGTACTCATTCTTTCTCTCTCTCATTTATTCGTTTTATCTCATTTACTTACTCCTGACCCTACATTAAGACTACAAATATTTTTAGGTAAGTAATGAGTGAACTGTATATACATTTTATCGCTCTGGGATGCTTAAATATCATAGAATATATGTGTGGGTGGGTTGGCCTGGTATGGTAGCCCGGCTGACTACCATACATACCACACTTGATTTTTTACAATAAATACTACTCATCTCACCCTATATTTTAACCCTTTCAGGGTCCAAGGCCCAAATCTGGAGTCACGCACCAGTGTCCAAGAATTTTAAAAAAAAAAATTTGTTATTTTTTCTTATGAAATCGTAGATAATCTTTTTGTGAAGGTAATAAAACAAAAAGTACGAAATTTGGTGGAAAATTGACGAAATTATGCTCTCGCGAATTTTGATGTGTCAGCGATATTTACGAATCGGCAATTTTTGCCGACTTTGACTCCCATTTAGGCCAATTACATTATTCCAATCAACCAAATTCTTAGCTATTCACTAGTATTACTTCTATTCTATCGATTGAGCACAAGAAATCGCCAAGTCAACTGTTTCAACTACAAAATAAAGTGATCGGAAATTGTTAATTTGGCCAATTTAACACAAAGTTCAAAATATTCCAATTTCAAAATAGGGTCCAGAATGAACAATGTAGGCATTCCTGGCACTAAACTAACATTTCCTCTGTTCATTAGTTATGTTTTGAGGCTTTACAAATAAATTCCATTTTGATTTTTTATTCACATAATGAATTTTTATTCACACCAAAAAATAGAAGATTTACTGTTATGCAATACTGTAATAATTGTATAAATATCATCACCATATTTGTGAATGTATATTAGACCCACCAGCTGACGTGTATTAGACGTGAGAGGTCGTTTGTTTACTCTTGAATATCGGCAAAAATTTTACATTTCCGCTACTTTGAGCTCAGTTTCAAGCCATTTCCAATGCTAAAACCAATCAAAATCATCTCTATTTCTGTAATATGTCTTCCATTCTATCAAATGAGACCAAGAAATCGCAAATACAACTATAAAAAACATACGAAAAAACACTGCAAAGTTGCTGTTTTAATCGAAAAATCATGATTTAATTTTTTTTCTCTCATTATACACAATGTGCTGCAGGATCTGTTTTATGTGGTGCACACATACCACATAGATGTATTCTCTCATATCTAGGCCCAAATGTACCACTCACAGTTTATCAGAGTGAGCTTAGCTCATGGCGTAGATCTACGGTTTGGACCCTGAACGTAAAGCCGTAGATCTACGGGACGGACCCTGAAAGGGTTAAGGTAAGTAATGAGTGAACTGTATATACATTTTATCGCTCTGGGATGCTTAAATATCATAGAATAGTATGTGTGGGTGGGGTGGCCTGGTAAGGTAGCCTGGCTGATTGCCATACATACCACACTTGATTTCTTACAATAAATACTACTTGTCTCACCCTAGATTAAGACTATAAATATTTTAAGGTAAGTAATGAGTGCACTATGTGTGTATTGTACTTTTTTATTGTTTTTTGATGCCTGGTTCTATTGCTAACTTAATATATGTTAGTGTAAACTTGTTATCTAGTGTTTGTATGCATTTATAAGTGGAAAAAAAAGGTGTTCCACTTTACGGCAGTTTCCGCTTTACGGCGGTAGCCTGGAACCTAACCTGCCGTATAAGTGGGGCCCTGCTGTATGCATTATTCTACCTGCATATTTTTAATTTTTTATCAGCTCACTAAACTCTGTTTTCTTTCTAGTAAACTGCCATTATCATTTCCCTAAATAATGTATGTTCTTCAAAGAACTGGTATCCTCTTCTATTCTACAGGTGAACGCCCATTTTCCTGTGAAGTATGTGGCAAAACATTTTCTCGCAAAGAGTACATCAGTGAGCACATGGCTGTTCACTCTGATCATAAACGTTTCTCCTGTAGATGGTGCAGCAAGGAATTTAAACATAAACAGAGCTTGCGTCACCATATGAAAAGTGCCCACGACTCTGTGAAGGTCAATGAGCAGGTAGCCCCAAATGCTTCACCCTTTATACCAGTTAATTATGCTGATGAAAGTGCATAAGAGATATGAAGTTACTTAATAATTTGTTGCCATTTTTTAAATTTTGTTACTTGTTATACATTTTTCACTAAAATGATGCAGTAAGAGTATTAACCTGTGATATAATGAAAAGTACATCGTTTTGTACCATTTATGTTAGAAAATCTTCATTATCAAAAGAAATTAAAAATAATTATTGTATAATTTTTTTTTTTACTTTTGAATTTTTTAATATGTTGATTTGACTATAATAATTTGAAATCTGAAAATTGCTTACAAAATAATATTTAAGTTAGCCTATTTAGCTCTTAAATAAATTTGCTTATTTCATTGACATGAACATAAGCTTAAGAACATGAATGCAACCAACTTGTCTTTTATGTTTTCATGTATAGTTTATATATGTGTAATAGTGATTTAGGCTTCTATAATTTGGAAGTTAAACGGTTATAAAGTTGTGTGTTAAGAGTGAAAGTAATTACCCACATAAAATTATCAGCAAATTAAAAATATCTGTAACAGATGTTCAACCATCATGAGTCTTGGGACCAAGATATTACAAATGTGCAAACATTGTGAATCTTATATGTTGCAAATATTGATAATATTAATATAAATTTATTAACCCTTAAACGGTCCAAACGTATATATACGTTTTTTCAACATCTGAAAGTATGTAAAAAAATGTAGATCTTTTTTGTTTTACATTTGAAAATGTGTAAAAAAGCTTTTATCTACATTTTTTTTTTGTTATATTTGAAAATATATAAAAAAAAGTAGATCTACTTTTGTAGCACTACGAATTTGAATGTCAATCTCTTTGGACTGTTTAAGGGTTAATTCAAATTGCTGAAAATTTGAAGTTCTTGTTAAAGCCATTTGAACTAACTTGAGTTACTATAAAATGTTATAAATCTCATTTGAGCTCTGAAGGTGGGGAGGGCAGTGTCTGTACTCAGGAGGAGGAGTGGGATGTTACAGTCTAATTAAAGATAACCTGAATTACAATGTCACCACACATCTGGGAAGACAGTTATTGAATGAATGATGGTGAATATGTTTTCTTGTTTGAATCAACCTGCTTTGAAGAGAATTAGCCATTGAGGTTAAAAAAAAAAATTATCAAACTTTCTGACCATCAGTATATTAAATACTATTTTGAAATCATATCAATTGTTAAACAAGTAACAGAATTTTTGATGATGCTACTTTACTGTAAGGTCTTTTGGTATACAAATATGTTTTTCATTAAATGAAATGTTTGTGAAATTGCCTGACCCATATTTAAAGCTTGAAATGGCATGTCATTCTTAATTTTTTGTTCTATACAATTTGAACAGTATGTTGTAATCTGGTAGACATACAGTATCTCTCTTATTTGCACAGAACTAAGGGATATTAAGGTTTAATGTACTGATTATTTTATCCTTGTCAGTGATATATACAGTACTTTATGGTTTTTATACCATTTTGTTTTTTGGGAGATATTTGGGGAACGCCTTTTCAGATTTACTTTTATTTTGAAACATTTGTGTTTGCTAAAACTGCCAAGCAACAGAGCACCTGGAAGCTATTTAAGATTTTCTTCTAATTATGCCATGATGTCTTTATCTCTATGTAATATCATGGCAATGAATTGCAAATACCATGGGTCTTCATCTCTTCATAGTATCAAAAACAATTACAGTGGACCCCCGGTTAACGATTTTAATCCGTGCAAGAGGGCTCATCGTTATGCGAAATAATCGTTATGCGAATGAATTTTCCCCATAAGAAATAATGGAAATAAAATTAATCCGTGCAAGACGCCCAAAAGTATGAAAAAAATTTTTTTTTACCACATGAAATGTTAATTTTAATACACACAAACTGAAAAAGGCATGCACAATTAAATGACACTTACTTTTATTGAAGATCTGGTGATGATTGATGGGATGGGAGGAGGGGAGAGCATTATCTTCTTACTGTTTAGAAGGGGAATCCCCTTCCATTAGGACTTGAGGTAGCAAGTCCTTTTCTGGGGTTACTTCCCTTCTTCTTTTAATGCCACTAGGACCAGCTTGAGAGTCACTGGACCTCTGTCGCACAACAAATCTGTCCATAGAGCTCTGTACCTCCCGTTCCTTCAAGACTTTCCTAAAATGGGCCATAACATTGTCATTGAAATAGTCACCAGCACGGCTTGCAACAGCTGTGTCAGGGTGATTTTCATCTATAAAGGTTTGCAGTTCAACCCACTGTGCACACATTTCCTTAATCTTTGAAGTAGGCACAATGGATTCCACAACTGGCATAGGCTTCTCAGGGGTTAGCCCCAAACCCTTCAAAATCTTTCTTAATTTCCATACTAATTGTCACCCTTTTTACCACAGGGTTGGCACTAGAAGCTTTCTTGGGGCCCATGGTCACTTATTTTCCAGAAACAGCACCGAAAACACTGTAATAATACGAAATATTCCGAGTGTATGCTTGGATGTTACCGCGGAGGCTGGCTGGTAAACAATGGGACGGCCGGCACATGTGAGGGCACATTGGACGCGTCTCAGACGAAAATCGGTAAGCGGGTTTTTAATCGGTATGCGCGGCAAAAATTTTGCGATAAAAGTAATCGGTATGCGGAAAAATCGCTATGTGATGCCATCGTTATGCGGGGGTCCACTGTAATTGTTTTTGGGGGTCTAATATATTTATTTTTATTCTTGATTCTCTTTGGTACATTTATGCAGCAAGAATCCACAAGTTGCTGTTATGCTTGCTGGCTTGGTAGCTTAGGCAAATTAAAAAAAAAATTGTGTTTGGGTCTGAAAATTTGTTAATCAGGAAATATACTATGGTAGGAGATGTGGATACCTTTCTTAATTACGTACTAATATTCAATCAGTCAGTACTTAGTTTGGTAACAGGCAACTATCCAGGGAGGTGCTCTTGTCCTGTCCCATTAGGGAGGGGGGGGTGCCTTGATGCTGGTGAAAAGCTCTTGATCCAAGGAATTAGAACTATTGATAAATGAGACACTTGTGCAACATTTGGGTATCTTTATTCTGGAAATGTTTTGTCACAGTGACTTCTTCAGTCCAGTGCAGAAGGTGGTGGAAGATACAGAGGAGTTTGAGGTAATCAGTCTCTCAACCTGGAGTCAATGTGTTCAGTCCATCAATCTTGACAAATGTGCAGCATATACCTGGAGATAGGGCTTATATACTGATGACAGATGAGGTGGAGCAGTGGTAGGTAGTCACCAGTGAATAAAGCCTCAGTGGAAGTAGGTCGTGTCTATAGATTACACAAGTTTTGAAGAATTGGTAGACACAACCTGCTTCCACTAGTGGCTTTGTTTACTGGTGACTCTTGTCTACCACTGATCCATCTCATCTGTCATCAGTATATAAGCCCCATCTCTGTGGTTATGCTGTACTTCTGTCTAGATTGATGGACTGAACACACCAATTTCAGGCTGAGGGACTGATTACCTCAAAATCCTCCTCATCTTCCACCTTTTTCTGAATTGGACTGAAGAAGCAACTGGCTGGCAAAATGTTTCCAGAATAAAGATACTCATATGTTGCACAAGTGTCTCAGTTATCAACTTGTCGGTTTTGTAAACCATTTATTCACATTAGAGCTATTATTCCTTATATTGAATCAAACCCAATTATTCCAGTTTCCATCCATGGGCTTGTGGAAATAAAAGTTTGTTTTATGAATTAAATAATACTGTCCAGTTTTATGAGTAGTGGGGGGCTTGAAGATGGTTGGAATAGTTTTAAAAATTCAGTATTAGAATGTGGGGCAGAAGTTTGTGGTTATAGGAGGGTGGGTGCAGGAGGAAAGAGGAGTAATTGGTGGAATGATGGAGTAAAGGGTGTGATAAAAGAGAAAAGGGTAGCTTATGAGAGGTATTTACAAAGCAGAAGTGTTATAAGAAGAGCAGAGTATATGGAGAGTAAAAGAAAGGTGAAGAGAGTGGTGAGAGAGTGCAAAAGGAGAGTGGATGGTAGAGTGGGAGAGTGAGTTGAACAAGTTAAGAAAGTCTAGGGAACAAATGGATTTGTCAGTTAAAAACAGAGTAGGGGAGTTAGTAGATGGGGAGATGGAGGTTTTGGGTAGATGGAGAGAATATTTTGAGGAACTTTTAAATGTCAACGAAGAAAGGGAGGCGGTAATTTCATGCACTGGCCAGGGAGGTATACCATCTTTTAGGAGTAAAGAAGAGCAGGATGTGAGTGTGGGGGAGGTGCGTGAGGCATTACTTAGAATGAAAGGGGGTAAAGCAGCTGGAACTGATGGGATCATGACAGAAATGTTAAAAGCAGGGGGGACATAGTGTTGGAATGGTTGGTATTTTTGTTTAATAAATGTATGAAAGAGGGGAAAGTACCTAGGGATTGGCGGAGAGCGTGTATAGTCCCTTTATATAAAGGGAAGGGGGACAAAAGAAATTGTAAAAATTATAGAGGAATAAGTCTACTGAGTATACCAGGAAGAGTGTACGGTAGGGTTATTATTGAAAGAATTAGAGGTAAGACAGAATGTAGAATTGCGGATGAGTAAGGAGGTTTTAGAGTGGGTAGGGGATGTGTAGATCAAGTGTTTACATTGAAGCATATATGTGAGCAGTATTTAGATAAAGGTAGGAAAGTTTTATTGCATTTATGGATTTAGAAAAGGCATATGATAGTGGATAGGGGAGCAATGTGGCAGATGTTGCAAGTATATGGAATAGGTGGTAAGTTACTAAATGCTGTAAAAAGTTATTATGAGGATAGTGAGGCTCAGGTTAGGGTGTGTAGAAGAGAGGGAGATTATTTCCCGGTAAAAGTAGGTCTTAGACAGGGAAGTGTAATGTCACCATGGTTGTTTAATATATTTATAGATGGGGGTTGTAAAAGAAGTAAATGCTAGGGTGTTCGGGAGAGGGGTGGGATTAAATTATGGGGAAATACAAAATGGGAAGTGACACAGTTACTTTTTGCTGATGATACTATGCTTATGGGAGATTCTAAAGAAAAATTGCAAAGGTTAGTGGACAAATTTGGGAGTGTGTGTAAAGGTTGAAATTTGGAAGTGAACATAGAAAAGAGTAAGGTGATGAGAGTATCAAATGATTTAGATAAAGAAAAATTGGATATCAAATTGGGAAGGAGGAGTATGGAAGAAGTGAATGTTTTCAGATATTTTTGAGTTGACGTGTCAGCGGATGGATTTATGAAGGATGAGATTAATTATAGAATTGATGAAGGAAAAAAGGTGAGTGGTGCATTGAGGTATATGTGGAGGTAAAAAATGTTATCTATGGAGGCAAAGAAGGGAATGTATGAAAGTATAGTAGTACCAACACTCTTATATGGGTGTGAAGCTTGGGTTGTAAATGCTGCAACGAGGAGGCGGTTGGAGGCAGTGGAGATGTCCTGTCTAAGGGCAATGTGTGGTGTAAATATTATGCAGAAAATTCGGAGTGTGGAAATTAGAAGAAGGTGTGGAGTTAATAAAAGTATTAGTCAGAGGGCTGAAGAGGGTTTGTTGAGGTGGTTTGGTCATTTAGAGAGAATGGATCGAAGTAGAATGACATGGAGAGCGTATAAATCTGTAGGGAAAGGAAGGCAGGGTAGGGGTCGTCCTCGAAAAGGTTGGAGGGAGGGGGTAAAGGAAGTGTTGTGGGCGAGGGGTTTGGACTTCCAGCAAGCGTGCGTGAGCGTGTTAGATAGGAGTGAATGGAGACAAATGGTATTTGGGACCTGACGCACTGTTGGAGTGTGAGCAGGGTAATATTTAGTGAAGGGATTCAGGGAAACCGGTTATTTTATAGAACCGGACTTGAGTCTTGGAAATGGGAAGTACAATGCCTGCACTCTAAAGGAGGGGTTTGGGATATTGGCAGTTGGAGGGATATATTGTGTATTTTTATACGTATATACTTCTAAACTGTTGTATTCTGGGCACCTCTGCAAAAACAGTGATTATGTGTGAGTGAGGTGAAAGTGTTGAATGATGATGAAAGTATTTTCTTTTTTGGGGATTTTCTTTCTTTTTGGGTCACCCTGCCTCGGTGGGAGACGGCCGACTTGTTGAAAAAAAAAAAATGGAAGCCTGTTAAGAAACCTTTAATTAAGGGATATTTGCTGGATAATGAAAATGTCTAGAAAATTATTGTCATTTTATATGTCAAATAATTTCTGCATCTTTAAAAAAAAAGTTAACTAAAGATGAACAATAACTTATGAAGTACAGTTGACCCCTACTTAGTAACTTAGATGTGGACCAGATACAGCCTCTCCTTACTCCTCACTTAATGATGGAGTTCCATTCCTAAGACCATGTCAGTAAACGAATTTGTCACTAAGTGAGGAGCACGCTATAATGGTATTGGGTTTGTGTCGGCCATCTTTGAAATTGTTTTAATGTCACCTTTGCAGCATTTATAACATTGCTGGTATATTTTTAAATGTTTATACAGTAGTGTACTGTATATTGTAATAAACAGAATAGAGGAAATCAACTCTAATATACATTATTTAGGTATGCAAACTGGTCAGAGAGCCCATTGTAAGTCCAAGTTGTCAGTAAACGAGTATTTCGCTAAGTGAGAAGCTGTAACGTGTTTGTTAAGCAAAAAATACATTAAGTGAATTGTATTTTCCATAGAGTGCCATATATACATTGTGACAGTAGTATTCCACATCTATTACCATAATTCTTTGGGATGGGGGAAGAGCATGTGTGAGTGTTCATGAGTAAGTGTGTTTCTGACTGTATCTTGTGGCCTTCTGTTTTCTTGTTAAAGTTTGGTTGGAGCATTGATTTTTTTTTTTTTAAGCAATTCAGTCAGACCATTTTCTTGTACGAATCCAATTTAAATATAGAAATATTTTGTAAAAAAAAAAATTGTGAATGCATTTTTGTTATAGCATTATTTAAACTTTAAAACACTTTCTCCAAAAGAAAGATAGGATTAAAATGTAGGTTAGACCAGAGGTTGTTTGAGTGACAGTTTTAAAGACCACTAGTGAAAGATTGGTCAGTTACTTTACTTTTTGTCTATACCTCATCAGAATTATTATGATAATTATAACTCCAAAATAATGTTTTATAAACTATGTTTCTTCTACTTTTATTGTTGAACTCTTGTTCCTGCAGTAATATGTTCCAAAATATGCTCTTCAGCATTTTCTTTATTCTGTCCATTTTCCTAATAAGTTTTTCACACTAAATTTCCAAAGTGTTGATGATGTTTTAAAACATCATCAACACAGATTGCAAATAAGGGCAATGTTAATAATACTGTAATAGTTTACTTTTCATGACTGAGGATAGCCATATTTGAATTATCCATGGTGAGGAAACTTTATTAAGATATTTTATATTTAACCCTTTCACTGTCGTAACCCCATAAATTAACCCTTTCAGTTGCTGAAAATTAAAACTGCTTTTCTTCTGAAATGGTAGAGAATCTTCTTTTGAAGGTAATATCACCAAGAATATGAAATTTGATGGAAAGCTTGCTGAATTATGCAGGGGCAGATTTAGAGGTCGGCACAGTTTACACCTTGATAATTTTGCCTATTTTGAGTTCAGTTTTAAGCCAGTTCAATCACATTCTTATCTATTTCGCTAGTATGTCTTCTGTTCCATCTTCTGAGCACAAGAAACCACCCAATCAACTCTGTGAACTATCCCATAACATGCACAGAACTTGGTAATTTGGCTAATTTTACACAAAAAAAATTCCATTTTAAAAACAGTTCAAAATAAACACTGTAGACATTCCAGGCACTAAGGCAACATTTCTTCTGTTCATTAATCATGTCCTCAGGGCTCTTCTTTATTATTACACATGCTCTCCATTTTGAATTCTTCATCATCATCTGGTTCTCAGATAATAAAATAAGGCCAGGAATGATTGATCATGGCTTACAATGTTCCAGTAATTGAATCAAACGTAGTAGAACCCATAACACAGACTAGGGAATGTAGTGGCACCTTACCCACTACATCCAATTTCAAGCTACTTCCAGTCTTAAACCAACCAAACTCATCTCTATTTCCGTATTATATTCTTCATTCTGTCAAACAATACCAAGAAACAAACAGGAAAATCATAAAAACTATTCTAGAAACACCTCAAAGTTGCTATTTTAAACCAAACACAAGGTCAGTTTTGCTTTTCCTACTATGCACAACATGGGGTAGAATCTTTTTTTATACTAAGCACACCCATTGCACAGACCCATTCTCACATGTCTAGGCCAAAATATACTGCTTATCTAATGGAGCTGAACTTGAAACTTTGCTTACATAAGCATCAGTAATGTACATTTACAGAAAAGACAGTGAATGAGTTAAGTCCTGTCAGTGTCACAATTTAAAAAAATCTAACATGATAGAGAATTTTTTTTTCTAAAGGTATTTATATATAAAAATGCAAAATTTCATGCAAAACTTATGGAATTAAGCAGGTGCAAAGTTTGAGGTCAGAGAACACTTCATGCAACTGCAATTTTGCCCACATTGAAGCCTATTTTATGCCAGTTTCCATACTCAAGCTGATTTAATTCCTAGCTATTTTGCTATTATGCCTTTAGTTCTGTTGACTGAGCACAAGAAACTGCTCATTCAATTCTTAACACTACCCTATAAAGTACCCAGAAGTCAGTAATCTGCCCACTTTTACACAAAATACAAGAAATTCCTAATTAAAAACAGAACCCAAAATAAACACTGTAGGCATTCCATCCAGTAAAGCAACTTTCTGTGTTCATTAATCATGTCCCCATGCCTCTTATATCACACACACCCTCCATTTTGAAGCCATCATCACACAAAAAATCTAAGTTTTACCACGTTTCCCAGCTAATAAAATTTTACTTAGAATGCTCACTCATGGTTTAGGTCATCATTTGAAGCAGACCTAGTAAAAGCACATAAAACAGACCAATGGGATTGAGAACTCTACCCTTCCTCAGGAAAACTGCCAGAAATGAGATATTTCTGCCACATTTAGGCCTATTTCAGGCCACTTCATGTCTGAAGCCAATCAAAATCATCTCCATTTCACTAGTATGTCATTCTTTCTATCAATTGGCACCAAGAAACAGTCAATAAAATCATAAAAATCACTCTAGAATGTACCTCAAAGTCACTCTTTTAATTCTCACACAAGTTCATAGGTTACCTCTTCCCTTCATGCACTGTTGAGGGTGCAGTTTTTTGTTTCTTACTGTACAGACTCATTCTTTCATGTCTAGGCTGTAATTTACTGCTCAGCATATTTGAGGGCACAGTGATTAAGATGTGATTATATGTAAGCACTACTGGCCTCCATAACATAAATCTACATGGGAGACAGTGAAACCATTTGACTATGCCCACAGTCTTCAGGGTAACTCAGTTTAAAGGAATAACTCAAGGAAACAGGAACACTCGATAATTGTTTCTACAAGTCTCTTCACTTGAAATTTAACATACCAGGTAGTTTATTTTCTGTACTGTACATTCAGATTTTCAATTAGTGCTAGTTACACATTTAAAATGAGTAGAACATTACTTGGAAATCCAGCGCAGGATCTTCTCTTAACACACTTACACCAATGTTTTTGAAGGCAAGGATGAATGCCCTTGGAATGATTTAGTGAAATTGATTAATTTCTAATTGAAAATGCAAGCATTTCTGCCACCTACCAATAAAATTGGTGTTGATAGACACACACAAGAATTAAAGGAAAAGCGTGTCAAAGAAAATTGGGTAATTTATTGATTCTGGCCACAGTTTTAAAACATGACTTACCTTTTTGTCTCTTCCAGTTTATTTAAATACTGTATGTTCTTCTCTACATTATCAATTTATCTCTACATGGTACATTGAAAATATTCTTGGGATTACTAGTACATATTTGCAGGTTGATCATCACTAATCCGGCATCATTGGGACCTATAGGGTGCCAGATTAGTGATTTTGCCGGATTACAGAGTGGTTAAGTTAGAGTACACTTAACCCAATGGTGGTATGTACACAACGGCGATTTTGCCCACTTTATACCCTATTTGTGGCCCATTCCATTGTTCCAGTCGACCAGACTCTGCTATTTTGCTAGTTTTCGTTCTATTCTGTCGATTGAGTACAAGACACAGCCCATTTACCTGTTTTAACTGCCTGATAAAGTCATCAAAAATTGGTAATTTGGCTACTCTTACACAAATTTCAGGAGATGCCAATTTAAAAATAAGGTCCAAAATAAACAATGCAGACATTTCTGGCACTAAAATAACATTTTCTCTGTTCATTAGTCATGTCTCCAGGCCCCCTCTTATATTACACTTACTTTCCATTTTTAATTTTTGTTCACACAAAAAATAGAAGATTTACTGTTATGCAGACTACTGCATTATTGTAATAATTGTATAAATAATGTCAACCCATTCTTGACCACATATCAGACCAGCCAGTTGGACACGTGACATAATTTATTTATTCTTGAACATTGGCAAAAATCAAACATTTCTGCTACTTTGAGCTCAATTTCAAGGTACTTTCCATCCTGAAATGAATGAAAAATCATCTCTATTTCTGTAATATATCTTCCATTCTGTCAACTGAAACTGAAAACTGAGACCATAAAAACCATACAAAAATACACTGGAAAGTTCCTGTTTTACACCAAAAACACAGTCGCAGTTTTTTTTCTCATGCACTGCAAGCTGCACATTTTTTTTATATAGTTCACACTTATCACACAGACCTATTCTTTCATATGTAGGCCCAAATTTACCAGTCACAGCTTAACTGAGAGAGCTGAGCTCATGGCGTCATACTACCGGACCTACAGTGGCTCAAAGCCACCTTATCTTTTATGGACGGTGTACAGTGTTTGAGCTTTACACAATGAGAAGCATTTCCTTTATTTGTTGGAACCATGACTAGGGATAAAAGTGAGCAGGTTATGACAATAAATGGAGAAAAAAAAATTGGAATGATTTATGCAGCAAGTACCACTGCCAAACAGTAGCAGCAGGTTGGTGCAGCGACTGCAAAAATTTGAAATTACGTTTGCCAAAATTAGTATCGGATTACTGATGGAACCTGATTAGTGATTGCCAGATTGGTGATGGCCAACCTGTATTATTCAATATTGTGTATCATGATGATATACAGCCTCTCCTCACTTAACGATGGAGTTCCGTTCCTAAAGCCGCGTCGTTAAGCAAATTCATCACTAAGTGAGGAGCATACTATAATGGTAATGAGTTTGTGTCAGCCATCTTTGGTATTGTTTTAATGTCACCTTTGCACCATTTATAACATTTCTGGTATATTTTTAAATGTTTATACAGTAGTGTACTGTATATTGAAATAAACAGAATAGAGGAAATCAGCTCTAATATACATTATTTAGGTATGAATACTGGTCAGAGAGCCCGTCGTAAGTCCGAGGTGTCAGTAAACGAGTACATTGTTAAGTAAGGAGAGGCTGTATTTAATTTGTGCAGTATGCCAGCAGAATGCTTTTGTAAAAAAATTCTCCTTCATAGGTAATGTACAAAAATGATGCTTTTGATACCAAAATGGACTTTTTGCATCATTAAGAAATATGAAGTACACTATATTCAGTCCCATATTTTACCTGCAGTTAAGTTCATTCCCTCCTTTCCCCCTTAATGAAATGGCTTTGTCTTATCAATAATGTGAAAAAGTCATTTCATTATGAGTCTCTGAAGACTAAACATATTCTTAGGCACACTGGACAATGCAGGTACAAACCAGGCAAAATGTGTACAATTAATAGTAAAAAAATTACAGTCCATTTTGGTCTTCTGGTTGAATACTACAATGGTTGCATGGTATTTGGTTTAATTTACTTCAGTTTTTGTTAATATTTTGTTACCAGAGTTGTGTAATGCCTTAAATTAATGGATTTGGGTCTTGTATAGGAGTTTGTCTTTTGTTTGACATTATAGTACTGTACTGTATAATCCAAAGAATCTGAATAAATACAGGCTAGCGAGTTGCTGGATTTGTTAGTTTTCAGAAAAATTGAACAGCTACCATAGGTTTCTGTAAATTTCTGTGAAGTATTTGAAGGTGTTATACAAATAAAATGAAACAAAAATGTTTAAGCTTTAAATGTCACTTTTCTGAATCTTTTTTAACGGTATGACTTGAAATATGGAGAAGCAGTAGCATGATACGCTGACAACACTATTGTAAGAATCACAAAGCCAATGTGAGAGTATAGCACCTTTGGTGAGTTTGGGGACACCCAAAATTGCAAAACATGTGAAATCGAAACTTCTTAATATTCACTGTCACAATACTGCACTTTCACTTTCCAAATTTTCACTGGGGTGCCCAAACTCAGGTACTTTTCAATCTTTCAATACAGGATTCTTGGGATTATACTGCATTGTAGATTGTTATTATTTTTATATGTAATACAATAACCTTTATGTGTGTGCCATATTATTGCAAAATAAGAAAGCTGCTTACACTTGTTATGTATGAGAGAAACATATGTACTACATTAGTAAGCATAGAAAATATTAGGCAAAATTTTCTTGTACATGGTGTCCCAAAGGTCTGGACCCATTGTACAGGGTGTCCCAGAAGTCTGGACCCATAGCACAGAATGTGTTAAAAGGCTGGAAATAAAGAACAGGGTGCATCAGACGTCTGGATTCTCATGGCAAAATACATAATTTACACTTGATGCATTTATTATTCAAATTTAATGCCATTAATAACCCTACACACATTACTTAATGTACAAATGTTTTTCTTAATATTTCTCAAGATAAAACACTGATGTTAAAGCAGCATTCCCATTGTTTGGGTTTAGGTTTTTGAAGCACTAAAAAATAGTGAGACTGTTTTACTTAGATCTTTATTTATAAGATTGATTTTTATAGCCTGTTTGTTCTTGCATGGAAATATAGCAGCCTGATTAAAAATGATGCAAAATATCATTGTTTTTAAGTGGTTTATTCAAGTTATATTTTCTTTTACCAGCCAATATAGATAACATAATGTAGATGTTGTTCATTTTTTATATTGCATCTGGTTTATGTGATTTAGCAAAAAATTTCTGTAAATGAACATTAATTCTGGTATGTTAAGCTCCAGATTTACATTTCAGTACACTGTCACTTTTAAAAAATCAACCTTTCTATAATTGTAGTTAGTTATCGAGCACAATCCCCCAATATTTCAAAAGCTTTTAAGTATGTTCTTAGTCTGACTGCTGCAAAACAAGGTATAGTTTACAGAAAAAGTTTAGACATTTGTTAAAGTTTTTGTCTTTGACATTTAGCAAAAATTCACTATTATTAACAAATTAATATAAAGAAATACAGTAAATGTAGTAAATACATACTATATAAATACAGCTAAACAAAGTAAATGCTGCACCACATTTACTACATGCAGTATATAAATTGGGAAGTGCTCCAAGTTTATTATAACCATGAGATGAAGGTTGCTTCTTATATAAATTATTTTGCATCTGACATTTGATTGTTATTTTTATTTTAATATTCAGAATTAAAGATTCCTTTGTGCAGCGAGTTAACAGTTTGATTTCTTATTCAACTAAGTCAAAAAAAAAAAAAATTGTCCTTTATTTCAAATCCACCTGAAGATATTCTCATTCACTGGGAAGCTCATTGTTTCACTCAAGCTTCAGTACATGGAAAGTGAAACTCAGTGTAAATGGGAAACATTTTTAAATGTATGTTGATGTACATTGGATCTATACACAGTTTTAAGAAGAGATATGATAAAACTCATGAAACCAGGAGAGAGAGAGAACCCAGTAGCACCAGTTTGAGAGGTAGGGCCAGAAGCTGAAACTTGACTTTTGCAGCCACAGATAAGCAAGTACAGTAAGATACGAAGACCTCTTGATATTATTGAACTGGCTAGTTTAGTTATACTGTTCCTTGGTTATACATATTCTTAAATTTAACTTTGTTAATATAATTTTTAATCCTACCTTGTTACTTACTTTTCTCAAATGTTTGATTTGGAATTACCTTTTTCTATGAGTATAATATTAGTTGGGTTTATTATTTAGTTAGGTTTCACGCAGATGTTATGATGCCACCACCAGAACAAAAATGGTTTAAGTAACCCATTCATCTTTTGCTGTTGACAGTATAGCGCTATAGTAATTATTTGTTTACCTTACAGAAAGTTTATTCCATGGTAAAGTATTTGTATGCTTCTACTTTTATTTGTAATATCTAATATCATTCACTTCGAGCATATGAGTAAATAGCTAACATGCATTTCTTCTTCTGTATGCCTCTTGTTGTATAGTTCACCCAATAATTCATTGTAAGCCAGTAAATTACAGCTGTTTAGCCAGACCCTCATGGAAACTGCAGCCCACTGTTTAACCCTTAAACAGTCCAAACATATATATACAATTTTTCAACATTTGAAAGTATGTAAAAAATGTACATCATTTTTTTTTTTTTTTTTTTTTTACATTTGAAAATATGTAAAAAAAACAGATCTACTTTTGGAGCACTACAGATTTGAACGTCGATCTATTTGGACTGTTTAAGGGTTAAGAAATGCTCATCTAAGCTGTTAATTTGTTGTCCTGTGCCTTGCTTAACTAACACTGTACATTTATTCATATCTTTCCCTTGAAGGAGGGTGCCCAGATGCTGATAAAGAGCTCATGATCCAAAGAATTAGAGCTACCTTTCCCTTCCTCAGATCAAACCTGATTTGCCCTCTCCCATTTTCCACATGCTACACAGCCTTTTTGGGTTTTGCACTTGTGAACATAATAATATTTTTCAAGGAGCTTCATAGTTCACTATTATACTGAGGTGGCTATCATTATGTAAAAATTTATGTTGCATAAAAAATATGAAAATAAAGGGCATAACAAAGCAATACAGACATACAGCAGGCATGTGTGAGTGTGAATGGAGATGAATGGTTTTTGGTACTTGATGAGCTGTTGGAGTGTGAGCAGGGTAATATTTTGTGAAGGGATTCAGGAAAACCAGTTACCCAGACTTGAGTCCTGGATGTAGGAAGTACAATGCCTGCAGTTTAAAGGAGGGATTTGGGATACATGTATTTACTGTACGACATCTGACCTGTCATATCTACATGCCTCTGCAAAAACAGTAATTATGTGTGAATGATGGCAAAAGTGTTTTTCTTTCTTGGGCCATGCTTCCTCAATGGGAGACGACTGGCATGTTGGAAAAAAAAAAGCATTAGGTCATTGTAGTAATCGAATCATTTTAATAGCTTTTAAAATAGACTGTCAGGTAGATAAAATGTGTGGGGCTTTGTATCACTCACTGTCATGTGCTCATTTTAAACTTTTGTTATATAAACAACTCTTTGCCTTCATTTGACTCAGGATTAATGTGATTTTTACATAAAAAATCATTTGCTCAACTAATTCATCAAAATCTTAGGTATAAGTTCATTATACATTATATTCTTATTTGTAGTAAAAATATATATGAAATATAAGTACTGTATCAAATCTTAAATGATTGTCTGGCAGTATAATTAATTTCAGTCCCTTAAAATGTGGGATATTATTGTATATCACTAACCCAGCACTGTATGACTTTTGGGTTTAACACTTAATTTTAATCTAATAATTATATACAACTAACTCTCAGAGGTTAATAATTTGCCAATGATGTGCTGTTTAAAGATGCCAAATTTATGTTTAAGTTATGTAATGCTTTGACATTTAACTTTTAGTCACTGCTTTTATCAATTTCTGTATACATACATGAAACTTATTTTAAAATATCAGTATAACAGGTTTTATGTATCTTTACTTGTTAGGGAGCACTGTGTTCCATAATCAAAAGGTATGTACTAATAGAATAATTTTATAATGGTGTATAGAGGGAGGGGAATCCCTTAACTTACAACAGTAGCATTGTGAACAACCCAACTTGAGAATAAGGTCCATAAGAAATAGAATTAAAACTAGACTTGCTTCGGTCACTGCACGATTGAAGAAAGGAATCCCTGTATTCCATAAAGCCAGCACCCTCTACCTCAATGCACATGAGAAAAATAGTACAGAGTGCAGCATAAGTTTCTAATTCTGTTAAATATCAGTGTTGAAGATCTGAATCCAGTCAGAAGAGGCATTTTCTCCAATATCCCAGAATGCACCAGCACTTCAAGTTTGAAGACTCTCAAAATTTGCATTCTCAAGTTATTAGCATTGAAGGTTTAAAGCCAGTCACTTAAAACATTCACAAATTATCACATGAAAATCAGTATGAACTGTATTTAGAGTTTCCCAGCTTTTACAGTAAAACTGGCAAATTGGCACCAATATGGCACAAAGTCAGTTCAGAAACTTTTATCTAATTAAAATACACCAGCGTTGAAAATTTGAAGACAGTTGGAAGAGGCATTTTCATGCTATAAATGAACAACCTTGGTGTGAGGAAAAAATTAGGCAACTGCTGAAAGTTCCTCTTTGTAGAGACCAAAATACTGTACTCTTGTTTTATGAAAGCTGTTCTACAGGTGTGAATTCTTGTGACACTTGGCCATCCTTTGTACTATTATTTTCTACAGGTTCTAAGTTATGAATAACTCATTCATAAATTGAAATGCTAGGAACACAACTCATTCTTTATTTAGGGACCCCCCCCCTGTAACTTTAAACTAAGATTTATATTTAGTTTACTTCTTTTCATTATTAAACATGTGGCAAAGTAAGAGAAGGGCTGTATAATACAAGTGTATTTATAGCTAGTTACCAGTTAGTTCGTTACAAGCCTTCAGACGTTGTTCCAGTGGCAATAAAAAGAGTGCATTAGTTTGCATGTGTAGCTGTGAGAAACCCATGTGGATGATGATAACTATCAGTAGACTGTAGCTGGTTATTTGAACGTATCCACCACATTAGATAACTATGGTGTGAATGTTGTCATGTACTGTATTGTTGCTTGTTTTTATTGTATATAGTGTAAATATATACTGGTTGGATTTTTTGGGACTTGTAAACAGATTTTATTTTGTGAATTAATTCATAAGGGTTTCATTGTTAAATTATGGGTCAGTATCCATTGTGGCTTGTTTTGTCTTTTTTCTTTGTTTAAATTTTAAAATGAACTGCATACTGTATTTAATTAATTTTGTAAATTCTAAGTTGTTCAGTTTCTTATTCATTTTATTTATTTTACATTTTATCAAGTTAAAAATTAAATAAATATTTTTATTTATTTATTTGTCTGAAACTTATTGTTAAGCAGACTGTTCATACTGTGCTCAAGAATTTTTATTTTGTATGAATTTTACTCATATATACGTATATAATATTGTTATTTTCTTTCTGTTATTGGTAAGAAAGCTTTTGTCTTCTACTACTGTAGTAAAAGATGCTTTTGCTGTATTTTATAAAGCTATTTTCATATAAGAAAATGAAAGTGAAGATAAAGTGAATCATTACTGAAAAATTTGGATTAGCAAAATAATGTGAGATTTTGTTGGAAAGAAGCAAATTTAATTATAGTGCCAATTAGAGAAGTAAAGCTTATCGTTGTGCGAGTGTGGAAAAAGAATACACATTTTCATTGTATTGTAAACCTCTACAAATTGAGTAACCAGTTGTGTTATTTTTATTTTGAAGTATGTATTTTTAGGTTGGGTTGACTCATTGTTAACTAATAAATGGTTTGAAGGTACGAGGAATTTATATACCCTGTCATGGGAGCTTCTTCAGTTACAGTGCTTCATATGTGATTCCTGGCTTCTGGCCATCCTACCTCTATTGCTGCTGATTGTGGAAAAAACAGCAGTACTCACTTGACTGTGTATTCCACACCAGATTTGCAGATCATCTCATGAAGGGGCACCTTTTGCCACTTTACAGTAATTGTCAGATCATGTTGACAGTCCAGCATCTTATGACTGATTTTGCTGTTTATAAGAGAATGTACTTCATTTCACATACCTCCTTTAATGCACTGACAATCTTACTTTGTCTGCCCTTTTCTCTTTTGGTCATACAGTACTTTTAATGCAAATTCTTTTTAAATTATTTTCCTGATGTTAATTTGTTAAACTGTGACCCACTCCTTTTTCAGCTTGTTCTCCTCAGCAAATGCTGATGTTTTACTGTGACTCAGAGCTGTTGGCAAAGTGATTGAATTTTACTGTCATACTTCCTTAATTCTTATTTGTTTCCCATTTTCTGTTTGTGCATGAAAATAGTCTTGCTTTTATGCATCATTGCATCTGTTGGTGTTAATGCTTGTTGTAATTGGTGCAGTTTAGCCAATTGAAGTTAATCTAATCTAACCTAACCTGTATGTTGTGAAATTTGCCAAAGTCTACAAATATGATTGTTGTCATTAGGAGAACAAGTTGAAATTCTTTCAGTGTCCTTCCCTTGACACGCTGTCTCCCTAATCTTGCCTTGAAGAGCTTAATGAAGCACAAATAAAAAAGGGGGAATACAGAGATGCATGGAGATTTTATACATATATACACACATAGAGTAATCCCAAAATACTAGAATAAGAAATCTGACAAGGTAAGTGAAACCAAACTGGGAAAAGTATTTTAAATGAGGTAGCATTCTAGAAAAAGAAGACAGTAAGAAAGGAGGAAGCTTGGCAATATTTATAAAAGAAACACTACAAGTTGCAAAAACTACTGTAATATCCACTACACAAATGTCAGAATCCTATTGGCACCAATCCAGTACACTGAAAACAGAATTGTAAAGTCATACAATTTGACAAGGTTATAAGAAATAGTAAGGTAGCTATTAATGAATATCCCTTAAATGAGGGTTCCTTGATGTTAGTGAGTGACTTGATCCAATGAATTGGAGCATCCCTTCCCTTAGATCAAAGATGATTACCTTCTATTCCCCAGTCACTGTAAGACCCTTATCACCCTCCAATGCGAGGGAGGGAGGGGGTGCTTGGATACCAGGGAAAGACTATTGATCCAGAGAATTAAAGCTGTCCTCCCCTACCTTGGATCAAACCTGATTACCTTCAATACCTCAGACATTTTAGGACCCAGAAGAGTTTAGTGCTTCCTGTTATGGATGGGCATAGTACTTCTCATAGATATATATTAATAGTGAATATAGTACAGTATACCCCAATTCTGGGTTATGTTTTCCTTTTTCTTATTCCCTATTCAACCTCTCAATATCCATCTCACTTGGAAAGGACAGGCATGGCATGCATGTGGTCCATGTCTGTACTTCCTTCTCATTCCCATCTCCCATATCTGGTTGGGACTCTGTCCTCTCGTATCAAAATTATTTTCATAAACACACTTCACTAGATGCCTTGCTACTGGTGAAGGGCTCTTGATTCAAGGAATTAAGTTAGCTTCCCTTCCATCCCCAAGATGCTATATAACCCTCACAGGTTTAGCACTCTCCCTTTAAAAGTACAGCAGTAATAGTAACCTCCATTCCCACAGCGATACTACCGCTACACTACTCTTGTGAATCTTATCTTGGGACCCTAATGGAAATAGCCACACAGCCTTTTACCTTTGGTTGTCCTTGGTTGTTAATCCTCTAATCTAGGGTTACTAATCCACTTCATCCCCTCTAGGGAGGTTTCTTGATGCTGGTGAGGGGTTTTTGATCTAATGAACTGGACCTAGACTCTAGTTTCCTGACAGCGCTGTATGCCCTTGTGGGTTTAGTGCTGTTTTGATTATAATAATCCAGTCGCCTGAATGCCTTTCATTCCCGCAGGCGCTGTACGACCCCAATGGGTTTAGCGCTTCCCCATAATATTCCCAACAAATTATGTTCCTAGGTACATATAGTAGGGTTCTTGATCCAAAGAAGTGGACATCATCCCCTTGGATATAACCTGACTGGCTCCAATTTTACCCCGGTGCTGTGATCCCTATTTTTTTTTTTTTTTGCGGTCCCAGTAGAGCCCATGCTAACGACCCCTCGAGGTTTGGCACTTTTCCCTAAATACCATATATATTACTAATATGATCGGGGGGGGGGGGAGGGAAGCGCTAAACCAATAATCATACAGCGTCTTGGAAATGGGGCCCCTCGAGGGCGGATCCTTGATGCTGGTGAGGGAATCTTGATCCAACTGCACTTATTTTTTTCCGTGGATCGAACCTAATTATCTCCCATTCACCAGGCTCTGTAATGTTAATATCATTCCTCGAGTGCCATGAAATTTTACACTATAATATTATACCATTTCCAAATTAATATAACCACAGGTTAAGCGTTTTCATTAATATTTGATAATTGGAAATCTCATGTTAATAAGTACACAGTCGACTAATGTTTCTTTTTCCTATTTGTATCTATTTCTTGGCATAGCGCTTCTTTTTTATTATAATAATAATAATGTATCTATTTCTGTACTGTCTCAGTCACGGTATTGTACATTATTGTTCTTTCTTTTTGGATTAAATTTTTCGATGAAAAAACACCAACAAAAAAATGCGCTACGGAGATAACTAATAGAAAGTAGGTGAATGACTTTGTTGGGTTTTGATTGGCTGAGACAGATACTCCTTCCAAAATCAGAAAATTTTCGAATAAAAAACAACATTAACTGTGCTAAAGAGGAGACCAATAGGAAGTGAGAAATAAACTTATGCTAAATTTTGATTGGTTTATTAGGAAGGGAGTTTGAGATCAGCGAATTTAAAGTGCACAAGACGAGGACTTTGCCGCGTGCAGATGGCGGCGTGTGTACTGAAGTATTAAAAAGTGTTGATTGCATTTAAAGTGTGCACAGGATATATACTCTCAAGTGGTGTACTTCTCTCAGAGTATACATAGGTAAGAGTTTTACTTAATTCATATTTTAAGGATTAAAGTATTCTTGTGTGGTGGCGAGAAAGTAACCGTGCAACCTTGTTTACTCTTTAAGTGTAATTTATATGATTTAAGCCCCATTAAGCAACCATTTAAAGTGCAATAAAGTGTACCTAATGTTCTAACGAAGTCATGTACTTACACTGCAAAGTGATCACTGAATATCAAAGGAAATTGTGTGTTAGCGGCACAAAGGAAATTTTAGCGGGAAACTAAAAGTTGTTCTTGTCCCTTTGAGTGTATTGCAATATGAGTGAGAAAAAGTCTGAAAATAGTGTAGCGGAAGTGCTCAGTGCACATCAATGAGTAGAAATTTACCAAGTACCAACACTGTAAATGTAAGTATTATTTAATTGAATAAAATTCACAGATAACCCACAGTTTGAAGAGGAAACTTAGGACGGCGTTTTGGTCCATCCTGGAACATTGCCATTTTAACTCCGGGTTAAAAATCAGAATAAATCTTATCTTGATGAAGGACCCAAACGTTGTGTAAAATTTACTTTTCAAAGTGTAGGTTTTTTGCATATGAACTGGGCAGTAGTTACTGGCAGATAGTCGTGTCATTATTTTACATATATTTCAAAACGACCTGTATACATCGCGGAATAAATACTTTTTGTGCGTTTTTCTTTTTGTTAGATGAAAAAAGTTAGGGTACTTTTAGTTAAGGCTAGGCTAGATTACGTTCAGTTAACATTAGGTTAGATTACTTTTAGTTAATGCTAGGTTGGAGTACATATAGATAATGTTTCATTAGATTACGTTTAGTTAATGTTAGGTTAGGTAACTTTTAGTTAATTTTAGGTTAGGTTACGTTTGCTTTATGTTAAGTTACGTTTAGTTCAGTGTTAGGTTAGGTATAGTTAATGTTAGGTTAGGTTTAGTTAATATTAGGTTTAATTAATATTAGGTAAGGTTTAGTTAATATTAGGTTAGGTTAGGTTTAGTTAATATTAGGTTAAGTTACGTTTAGTTAATATTAGGTTAAGTTACGTTTAGTTAATGTTAGTTTAGGTTATGTAACCAGACAGCGCCATCTGTCTTGTTGACATTGGGGTTGGCGCGAGGCGCCTTGTGTGTGCGGCTCGTTCTAAATGTGTTCATTTTCCTTATATCTCCCAAGATAACAATTTTCAAAAGAAATTATTACTTATTCCTTGCTATACATAGGTTGTATGTATTGTTAAGAGCCAAAATAGAGTTCCACCGAGTAGATGTCTGTAAGTATGAATATCATTTGTTAAGTCATATAATTTTATTACGGGTTGCACTAAAATTTGTCTTTTTTTTTTTTTTAATTCACATCGGGGTTCTTTTTTATTTTATTGTGTGATGGTAAATTCTAAGAAATGCTTGATTCTAAATCTAACAACTTAGGCTTAAATGGTGCTCGTGGCTCAGTTGATAAGCGTCCTCAACTCGCACGAACGGGGATCGATCCCGGCACGGGTGAAACGGTAGGCATGCAGCCGCTGTTCACTTAGTAGTAAGTAGGTATCTGAGTGTTAGTTAACTGTTGTGGGTGACATCCTGGGAAACAAGATTAAAAGGGCCCCCTTGAAAATAAGACCGACAGCCCCCGTCGACGCAGACTTTATTGGTTTATCCTGGGTGACTAACCCTCTGTACTGGAGTAGGTTCGCCGGTCTTTTCCAGATGGAGGATAGCGAGGACCCCTCCTGGTTAAAAATCGGAACAAATCTCCATTGACGGATCAAAATATGACTACTGAAAGACCTGGAATTTTTTAAAAGAAAATTTTCTGGACAGTTATTCCCTGCATTATTTACGTAATTTTAAATGTCATTTGTTAGGTAGTAGTAGTCACTTCTTCAGGCTTATATGATA